GCAATTTACTGTAAATTATTTGTTCGCTTCAATAGAACACCACATTCGCATAGCACACAACCTTATAACGCGCACGACAATATAGTATGAAATTCATATTGCGCTATACATACCTTTGCTCAATAAACACTTTCTTATGAAAATACAAATTATCTTGGTGCTTTCAACACCTATCCCGTAGAGAAATTTGAAATTCAAAAGGTAGCAGCACAACCTTAAATCCATTGCGAATTTCTTCATTCATTTTCATTCATCAAATCATCAAACGTAACGGACAGCTAATTCTCTCTCCCAAATAATCTTAAAAAAATGAGTGCAGTGACTATGAGGAGGAAGAATATGAACCGCATCGAGTTGGTTCCTCAAAGAAGTGCTGCTACAAATGGTGGTGGTGGTGGTTGTGGTGTTGGACTTAATTCATCTTGTGTGCTATCGCCAACCAATAATGCAACATCGCCTACTAATAATACAACAATAGTGATGGGTGAGGGAACAACATCTAAGGGTGGTATGATTAGTTCTGCGAGAGGAAGTAATCAAGATAAGAAAAACTCTCCCTCTAATCAAAATAGACCATCTACGACTAGTTCGATATTTTCAATGACATCTTCTGTAAAGTCTGCAAAGATTGTTGAGAGTAGAAGTTCTCTTATCAAGAAGGCCAATGATCGTTTTGCACACAAGAAAATGTCCATCTCTGATAGAAATTCAACATTCCCTGGAGTTAATGAGTACAGATTTGCAAAGGAGAAGGAAGATATTATGGAATCTGTGCTCGATAAGATTAACAATCTCTCCAATCATTCGTACTTTACTGGCTCTGATGATGGAAAATCTCAAAAGAGCTCAGACCTCTTCATCATGGGCAAAGCTCCAAGTGTCTCACAATCTCAACAATCGACTGAATCTCAACTCTCCTCACAATCTCAATATCAAAGACAATATATTGAATGGAAAAATGCAAAAGAAATCAATGAGAGCAGTAAGCAAATTGCAGAAACTATCAAGAAAAGAGAAGGACATGTTCCATTTGGTACTTTTGGAGTGTTCCAAACTGGTAACTCAATATATAAGAGGGACTTTATTACAGAGGATGCTCTGAAGAAGAGAATGAATGAAATTGAAATTGAGGAGAGAGGAAGTTATGTTTTGAATAATCCATGGGAGAAGAATGATGACGATGAAGTAGCAGACGAAGAAAACAATAAGGAAGACTCTCCAATAGCTGAACAAACAGCGAATGCTGAAGAGAACCATAGACAAACATCAGAGAATGAAGGAAACAATAACTCGAGGGCCTGTACTCCTATGGATATTGACAAGAGAAGTTCGAGCTCTGGCTCTGCGCAAGAGGAAGATCCTATTGAAATTATTGGAGAGGAACCACATCCAGAAGGACAGTCAGTGGCCATGATCAATGTAACAAAACCAACAGACTTTGATGCTGCATCTGTGTTTAGCTGTAGTACTCATCACAGTCTATACTCGAGAAGATATGCACCTTCAACATGTTCATCAACATTTAGTACAGGGAAAAAGGGTATTAAGGGTGGTAAAGCCAAATATATGCCTAGACCTATGGCTTCCTCGCTGATAGAGCCTCGATTAAAAACATCGAGTTCTGCTCATTCATCCAATTCCCAAACACCACCTCCAACATCACCTTCTTCCTCCACCACTCTTTCCAAATCTCTCAATATTGATGATGTGCGTAAAAACTTTACTCCAATTTCTTCTAGGCATAATTTCCCCCAAGGTAGAAAGAATACTTTCAATTCGATCATAAGATCGAGTGATGTACTGTCCACCAACTAATTTGTACATAATAAATAATAAGTTGTAGTTTTATTATAACATAGGCCTTTGAGGATGCTGGTCAATTCATAATTTATTCAGTTTTCAACTTTCCAGAAGATGGTTCTTCAACAATTTCTTGGGATGGTTGTTTTTCTTCAGTTGACTCCTCATTGACTTTTTCTTCAGTGGTTGTTTCAGTAATTTCAGATTGTTTTTCTGTTGTTTGTTCTTCACCTCCTAATTATTTTAAATATTATTAATTATTAATTATTAATTGTAAATATTTACCTTGACCAAACTCATTTACTCTCTTCAAGTCAACTGGATAAATCCATCTTTGATAAAGGTAAATGAAGAAAATGACGTCATCTCTCAAACAAGCAAGCTTGTACATATTTGGACTTTGAATAACAAAGGCAAACAAGTCATCAACAAATGTGTTAAGGGCCTTATAGACATAGGATTTCCATGGCATGGCAGCAACAGATTTGAGCTTGTAGTTAACATAAACTTGTGGAACAGAGTTGAGGAAACCGAAAACATAGATAAATCCAACAATTGTGGACAAGACAAAGCTATACCATGATCTAAATTCATGATTGTAGAGAGCATAAATTGCATAACCAACAATCAATGGATAGAATACATAGGAAAGATAAGTGATGGCTTCGTTATCATATTCCTTAGTCTTGCTTTCAACATAGCTAGACTTGTCAGTAATCTCGATAAAGTATGGGAATTTGTTAGTTTTCTTGATTGATACATCTACAACCTTACTAATCTTCCAATATTCGATTAGTAAACCAATACCATTACTAATTAAAATCATCCATGAGGTTTCATTATCGAACAAATAGAGGAAAATAGCTGTCTGGAAGAAGCAGTTCACAAAGATTGAACGAATTGATAAACCTTCCATATTCTTTTGATTTCTATAGAATTGAATATCATTCTTGAATGCCAAAAAGTCAAAGACACTATGTAAAATGGATACAACAATAGTAATAGCCAACAAGTATGGATTAGTTTCAAAAAGCATACGCTTAATTTCATCAGACTCTGCTTCATCAGATCCAAATTGTTTTTGCATTCTGAGGGATTCATCCATTTGTAAATGGAATTGCCACTTCCATTGATTTACAATTGACAAGTCCAATTCTAAAGGTAAGCTTTTCAATGTATCATTGAGAGCAACAAAGTGACTTCTAATTGTCCAAAAATCATTAAAATAAAGAACTGGATAATATCTCTTTGGATTTCCACGCATTGGTAATAAGTGAATTGCTGATTGGAAATGAGCAGGAAGAGAACTAAGTGGAAGAGCATCATGCATATCAACCATACTCAAAAACACTTTTGGTAAATAATGAGGAATGTACAAATCTCCAACTTCTGCACTGCTTTCAGTTTCATTTTGTGTAGATGAATCAAAGAGTAAATTTCTCTTCTTATTCCTCTTTACTTTCAAAACTCTACTAAATGGATGAGTAATGTGTAAAATTCGTTCTGGTAATGAATTTCCTTCCTCCTGTAAGAAAGCATGGAAATGAACTGATTTGTTACCAATCAATAAATCATAAAACACTGGATAATCAGTTTGATTATTAAATGTCAAATTAAATGTTTTGTGATTACTTTCACGATCATCATAATAAACTCTATCTTGCAACAATAATTCATGATGAATAGGTTCCGATGAAGTATAGTTTACACGATCATAGATTTTTCGCATTAATTTTCTATCACTACTTGTTGATAAATAGAGTTGCAAAGTCATGGCACACGATTTACGGAAGGCAGGAGCAGCAACTATGGATGCTGATGAAGGTGCTGATTGAGTTGTTGTTGTTGTTGTAGTTTTGGAATCTAGTGAAGAAGCAGCACCATTATTTGCTTGATTTCCACCACCTCCGAACAAACCTCCAGAAATCATCTTCATTACGAAAAAGACAATCAACACTCTAGAAATGGTTGAAAGTATTGTTGAGAAGGTGGATCCTTCTTCATTGTTGGTTCTGGCTGCTGTTGTTGTAGCAGAAGACTGTTGAGCAACAGTACCACCACTTGAAGACATTTTTTATTTCAATTTTATTTGAACACGTTTTTGGAATTTTAAAAAAGTATCCATCGATACTTTGTTGAAATCCATTGAGGAAATATTAATCAATTCCAAAATAATCCGCTCAATAGGGAAGAACACATGCTCTAGATCTGTACAATGCCAAAAAAAGTACAATATCTCTCAATATTTATTGAAAAACGAGAGCCAACAAGGCAAGCAAACATCCAACTAAAACAATGAATGAATTTTCAGATGTTCTTAAGGCAGCACCAGTTTTGCCAGTATTGGTATTGGTATTTCCCTTACCAACACTTGCAGCAGCAACAACTTTACCTGCAACATTGATATCAACACATCCATAATATGGAGCTTCGTTTGCAGGAATCCACATCCATTGCAAAGTACAATTACTGCAATATCTATCTGGAATGGTAACATTTACAACAGTATCACCAGCAGCACTCTTGATATTGTTGGCAAGAATGGTGGAAGCACCTCCAGCATAATCAAGAATTGAAATTCTCATAACACCACCTGTGTTGTTTTTTCATATAAATTGAATTTAATTTAATTTACTTTCCAATAACAAAACATACCGTGATTGGCTTGAATATTCCATGTGATTGGGACTACTTGATTAGCCTTGTAATTTTGTGTTGCCTTGGTCTTGGCAACGCTTCCACATGGTGATGTTTTTTGTGTGAGAGCCTGATGTCAAACAAGTGACGACGGTTGGCATGTGAAAATGGGTGAGATAGTGAAAGAGGAGTAGTAACAAAAAAAACGTGTTGATAAATAATATTAACATTGTTAATACCTACATCTGATCTACCAAAAGTTCTTGGCTTTGGGTTAATGAATTGACCGTGACCATTTGTGAATTGGAAAATGGTAAATAATAAAGTGAAGGCCAAGATGGCAAGGACAGTTGTACGCATTTGTTGTGTTTGTTTTTTTTAAAGATGGGCTTTTAGAGTGTGATGATTGGAAACATGCGGATCAAAGACAGATGACAGGGATTCTTGATGATACAGATCGATTTGTCCAGTACAGAATACATTCAAATTATTTTTGACATAGGCCAGGCGGTAATTAATAGTAAATTGAGGCAATGGGATGTAATTAGTTGAGTTTAGGTTTACTCTCTAGGATGTCTGTGTTGTTTGGATTGTTTGAGAGATTTGAATTTCCTGTCAAATTCGTCCTTTTCCATTTTTCTTTTCACACACCTTTGGATGGATTGTTTCAGGTGTTGAGCTTTCCTTCTGATTCGTTCTGGTGTGATTAATCTCTGAATTTTCACACCCTTAACAAACTTTTTTTTACAAATTACAACTTCTCGTTTTACAACATATTTTCTAACATCGTCCGATTTTGAAAGATTGAATAATTTACGAATTTTGGAAGCTCTCTTTGGTCCCAGAGTTTTGGGATGAATTGAATCTGTGAGTCCAGGAATTTCTATTAAGAAATTAATTTATGAAACTCTAGTTTCAAAAACTTACCAAGAGCACCCTTTCGAATAATTATTGCAGAGACAGCTCTCAAATTTCTATCAAGAATGCATCCTTTTAGTTTAATTCTTCTCCTTTCTCCTTTTCTCTTTGCTTGCCATCCTCTATATCCAAACTCTCCTGGTCTCCTCAATATACAAGAAGTTCCGTATTTTATCAATCCAGGAGTGTAACAAGTTCCCAAATGGTCTGAAGCTCCTCTATCCAATATTTCATGATTCAAACACCTCGTATTGAAAACCTACCTAATTTTAAATATATAATCTCTAAAATCATTTCCAATACAACTTCCATCAATTTCATCACCCAATTTCCTTCCTCTAAATGCTTCAGCACCTGAACCATAAATTTCAAATAATTTAGTTCGTCCAGTTTCTCTACAAGCCAATTGAAACTAACATTCAATTTTTCATCATTTTAATTAATATCATATTTGATCATCATACCTTCAATTGATGATAATAATTGTGTTTCAAAGTAAAAACACCCTCCGAAAATCCCCACTGTCTAACATCAACATCCTGTCTCATGTGTTCAAAGCCACTTCCGACAAGCAAATCCAATCTTTTCAGAGGATTTGATTGGGGAGGATATTTGGCTGGAGTGAGATTGTTTGGGCGAAGCATTTTTTTCAATTATTTTGATAATTATCAACTTTCAGCCCCAGATCATTGCATCTTTCTTTTGGAAAGGTTTCGTTTTTACAAATTGTGCTAAAGGAATCAAACCTCCTTATCAGACTAGAAACAATAAAAAAATGGACAACTTAATTGATACCACATGCAATTTCAAAGCACAACACAAAGCACCTCTCAAATTTCCAGCACACATCCACAAGGGAGATAATTTGTTGGTTGCCATCGGAATTAAATCGAGTGCAAATTATTCAAGATCAAGAGTTGGTGATTTTTGGTATTTTTACGAATCAGTGTATGATGGCGTGAAATGTCGATTTGAAATTCAATCAAATATGCCATTGGATAGTTTTGCACCACCAGCTTTGAATATTCACAAAATTGTGTTGACTGTTTATCAAATGAATGAAATGGAGGAAAGGGAGCTATTACTTGAAACTAAATCTGAAAAAGAAGTATACTATTTTGGTGGTGTTCACAACCTGAAGAATTCAATAGAGAAAAAATTGCAAAAATCAATCGTATTATTGGAATTGACAAACTGTCATACAGTGCTAGAGCTTCTTGGGATATTTTAATGAACTATATGGAAGTTTACGGGTATTTTAGTTATTACCGTGTTGTACCTGGATCAAGGAATGAAAAAGTGTATTGTGAAATGTTGCTTCATGACAGTACACTGATTGACAGTAATCATAGTGAAAACGCAACTTACAAAAAAAGATTTCATAAACTTGATGGAGTGGCAGCTAATAAGTCATGGGTTAATATAGATATCTCTAAATATCCGTATATTGAAATGTTGAATTACAATGGAGACGAATTGAGATATTCTGAAAGTTTGGAGCAGACAAACAATTTAGGGATAATCACTATAACTTACAATTCGGAAATTATTTATAGAGCTAGTTATCCTTATGAAAAGGTAGTTAGAATAGGAAATTCATATACTCCAAATTACCAAAGTCCAATTTACAAGAATGGTTTGATCTGTGAAATTGATGAGAGAAAACCAACACATTCAGTTTTCAAATTTGTTGAGAAAATGCTCCAAATCACTTTGAAACAAACAAGGAATTTTGAAATTTCAGAAATGGAACAAGAATGGTGTTCTTTATGTAACAGTCAATTTAAAAATCTTGTAATGATTTTCAATTTTAGAAATTACAAACATTTCAATCATTTGAATTTGAATAATGCACTGAGAAATTCATCAACTTTCTCAGATATTGTATTTTACAATTAGATTAAACCTTTAAATCATTTCATGAGCTACTCATTTCAATTTCATCACAATTACTTACGCTAGTTTATTCATAGTTGAATCAAGTTAATTTCTTCCTCTGATTTGACCAACTTTCCTAATAATGTCCTCATGAGCTTCACATTTCATATGTCAACTTCAAAGAAACCATGTGTAAAGTAAGCGATTACCTTTCATGAAATTGTGTGGAAAATTTTAAAAACAATTAAAAAATGTCAAAAGTTTGTTTGCTTGTTTTTTTCGTGGTCTTGGCAGGTCTTGTCTGTTGTGTACAAGGAGCAATTCATCTTTTACCACCACAATCATCTTCTTCTACCAGCTTTTCAACAATTTCCACAAGAAATGTCAACCAAAATGTAGGGCCCTCTGGTAATACTAATTATATCAACTTGACAGGTGTCATTGCAGGTTCAATCTCAGGTTTAGTCTTTCTAGTCGTCATCTTACCAACAATTGTTGCTTGTTCTTTAATGTGTGTACTTGTATGTGTGACTGAGGAGAAAGTAGAAGAAAGAGAGTTGGAATCTCAGAATCCGTTTAATCTTCCATCAAGTGTAATTTCTGGTGAATTTGTGAATGGAACAACATTGTATGATGTTAATTATGCTGACTGTGCCGTTTTTCTTTTTTGGGTTGTGACTTGGTTATTCAGAAAATTGACTTGTGGCATTTTCGATTCACTTTTAATATTGAGAAGTACTAGATTTCGTGTCAGAAAAATGTTAGTCGGAAATAGAAGATTAGACTTGGACATTTCAGATAATTGCTGTCATATTCCATTCCTACATTATTTGAATAGTGCATTGAATGTGTACACTTGTGGTTTGTGGAGAGTTTTCGGCTTGACTCATCGTTTCTATTATAGAAAAATCGATGATAGAATCTTTTGGAAACCAATCGAAAGTTCATCTCAACCCAATCAAGCTATTCAATGGGTTGGTTTTGATGAAAAACCTGGCAAACATCAATTTACCTGGTTTAGTATCTATTGTGGATGGAAGACCGAATTAATGTATTGGTTCCTGAAGAGAATTGTAAATGTTTTCACATTATTCTTTGGCGATGCATTTATTGAAGCTTGGTATTTGAGAGAAAAGATTAAGTATGCTAAATTTGGTGGTAAGGGAAGTTTTGCAGTGATTCAAAATGGTCAACCAACTTCATTTATTTCTGGCTCTCCAATGAATTTGACATTCCATTCAATTCTGGATGGTTGTTCCTATTTGGGAAGATTGCTGTTGTATAGATTTTTGTGGATTATCACATGTGGATTGTTTGGATGTTGTTCAGGTGAGAGTTTTATTCTTTCATATATTGATGCACATTTGGTATTGAATAGATGAGTTTACAACAATATTGAAATATATTAAAATCACACAAACTAGGCTTTAAAATTAACACATCCTACATCTTTATCCACCAAATTTGGAAGTAGTCATTGGTTAGCAATATTCAATTTCATTACCTTTTCAAATATTCGAGTTCATAATGATTCGGAAATCAATTTCCGTTGCTTCCTTTAAAAAAAATGGCAGAAATTCAAACACTCGATTTGATCCGAGTGGAGAATAATGCAGAGCTCATTTCCAGCACTCCTCCATCATTTGGAGATATTAGAATTAAACCCTTGAACTCTCTACTGCTTCCGATAGTTTCTGATGCGAAAATTCTATATGATACAACAAGATTTACCTATTTTGAAGTTAAATTATGTCAAACACTAACTAAACTTTTCATTGGATTTGGGTTTACTTCATCAGAGTCACATGATGACGAAGATATTGTTGGATGGGATACAGACACTATTGGTTTTCATTATGATAACGGAAGAGTCTATCAGGAAACAAGTTTTACAGCACCTATTGCTGATAAACTTCATTTAGTGGATGTAAAGGGAGATGAAGTGTTTGGATTCTTTTTGGACCACGAAATTGGTGAATTCAAAGTGACATGTAATGGAAGATTATTGCACAATTCATTGGGAACTCGATTCACAATGGAAAAGTACAAGAAGAAGATTTTTAAACCAATGATAAGTGTGGATTGTGGAATGAGAGTTGAGATGGAAATTAATTTGGGATTACAATTGGGAAGTCGACCATTTTTATTTACAGAGATGGTACTGGTGAAACAGAGACAGAAATTATTTGAAATGCAAGGGAAATGTTCTGATATGGAAATTGTTTGTCAGGAATAATGCATTTTCCCATAGGTCAATTCAAGTTTTCAAGAGTCGAATAATGACAGGCTGTTGAAACACTACGAATTGAACAAGAAAGAACTTTCATGATGAATTGAATTCTCATTAGATATTGCAAAATTGAGTTTTTTTTCCGTTACCATAACAATATACCAATAGTTGCGTCACAACACATACCCAATAAATCGGCTGCCTTACTCAGTTTGTTTTTTTGGTGGTCTTGCCCACTTGTAGAGTATCTCTTAACTTCTTATCAAAAATTTGTGACTGAGTTAGTTTAATTTACTTTACAACCCGATTTCCTTTGATTACTGGACTCATACAGATTTATAAATCAGGTGCCGCACACAATTTTAACTTTAAAAAATTATTTAAAAAAATATGAAAGATCCAAAGAGAAGAGTTTTGCAGGAATTTATTAAACTTTTCGCTGATGAGAAGGTTCAAATTCAAGCGGAAAAGAAGAAGAAATCTTCATCACCACAATCGGATAATGATGGAAGAATTATGCTGGAAGAAAAGACATTAGAATGGGCTACAGATAATGACGGCTACAAGGTTGTATTTACTAAAATATTGTCCTATTTGGATGAGTATGATTTGGCACTTTCTATTCAGCCTACTTGTAAATTGTTCCAAAATTTTTCAAAGAATGATCAATTGTGGGAAAAGCTCATGTATTACAAATATGATAATGATTATTTGTGTATTTTTAAAGCACACAAAAGAGACTATTTCCGTAGTGGAAATTGGGAAGATTTCAAGAAAAGATATCAAGATCTTGCCAATTGTAAGGAAAGATTTGTTGCATCTTGGAGAGAGTACAATAGTTTGGGTCTAGCAGAGGGATCCTATCGCTTCCATGAACCAACTTCATTTGAATACAGAAGAAAAAAGCATAGAGATTGTGATAAATGCCTAGATGGAATTGATGAGGACGAGCCATTTATAGTTGTTGATCCATTTTATTCTAGAAAGGCTCTCCATATCGATTGTGTAAATAAGGAACGTTTTAGAGAAATATATCCACATGTTTTGAACTTTCTTCCAGAAAATTCTCCCTACAAACAAGATGTAATCAACTCACTTTACAGATCTAGAATGTTTGATCATGTTGATGGTTCAAGCAAAAAGCAAGCTGACAAAGATGAAGAAGAAGAATTGGAAGATGAAGAAGAATTACCAGAATATTCATGTGATATATGTGAAGAACCAATTTATGGAATCAGATACAATTGTCTGGATTGTGGAGAGTATGATTTGTGTGGATACTGTTGTGAAAAGGTCATTATGAAACAGAAGGGGTCAACATTGAAAATGTGTCAACATGCTGATCATCCTCACGATCACACTTTCCAATCTGTTGATGAAGAAGAGTTTACTACCTATTCCTGTAACCAGTGTAAAGAAAAAATTAGAGGCCACAGATATCACAAATTGGATGAAACAGATTATGATTTATGTACATTATGTTTCTTTGATACAAATTCCAAAGATGCCTATGAAAAGATTGATCTCTTTGGAGAGAAATCAGTTGAACCTCTCTACACTAGTTTCTGTGAAAAATTATTACTGAAAGAGGTCAAGTCCGTTCTTGAAGCTCTCGGTGAGGAAGTTGCAAACATGACAAAGAAGCAACTCTCAGCCAAATTGTTTGAGATTTTAGAGGAAAAGAAGGAGGACAATACCAGACCAACCATTTGCAGTCTAGTTTCCAGTGTAGAAAGATTCTGCTGCAAAGACCAAGATGGAATAGTATTACCAAGTTCTGCTCCAAATGCCCTTGTAGCTAGTGTTGAATTGGTTGATGAAGCAGTAAAACCGCCAAAGAAGAAAACTAAGACCGAATGAGCACTATGCAATATCCAAGTATTTAAACATTTCATTTCCAACCTTTATCTTGTCAATTTACAACTTGATTAGTTACTTTGATTTGGATGATTCTTCATTATTGTCATCAGGCTCTCCTCTCTCTGATTTATAGAAAATGTACAGAAGAAGGGAGAATAAATAGGTTGACTCATTCAATGATGCTATTGCTGAATACCATGCCAACTTGTGCTCCTCAAGAGTAGCTAAATAAGCAAATACACAAATCAAGTGATGTATCCTAATCGAAACAGAAATATCTCCACAAATTAATTCACTCAGGAAAAAAGCAACATTGCATTCCACAAAAATCAAATACACATCCGTTCCCTCTATGAGCGTATCTCCATTGGAAGCTTCCCAAGCCTTAATACAGTACCATAATCCTGAGCCAATGGTAATGACAGTTACTATCGTATTGATAGAAAGTCCAACATATTTAACAATTTTCTTTTTCATTGACTTATCAATTCCCTGCTTTTTTACAATGTGAAATGCTAATATTTGTCCCAGATAATTGAGTGTAGCAAATAGTGCAAAGAATGCTGCAATGGAAGCATAGGATATGGGACTTGGTGAACTTGTGATTTTGTCAGTAAAGGAAGTAGACATTTTTTGCAGTATAAATTAACTATCTATTAAAATGGAAGGTGTGCAACAATTGATGATTATTATGTTTGGACGTGAACATTTTCATAAGATGGAAAGAAAAACATCTTCCTGATTATTACATTGTTTAGAAGTGATTACAGTTGTTTTTTCTATTATTGATAAAAATTGAAATTTAAGGTACCAATCTGCATGTTCACAAATCCCCCATTCACGAACCATGGCTGGTTAGGAATGCAGCAATCATCTATGAACGAGGAAACCTACAACGAAGCATGTTTCCAGTTCTATGTCATGCTCAAGATATGTGACTACAGAGTCTTCATCTTGGTTAACCTCAAAGGTCAGATTGACTCAAAAAAGTCGAGTTTATGTATTCCTACAGAAAAGATCCTGTAGAAGTACAGTCAATGGTTTTACAAATACTGCATCCTCAGTGATGTTTTGGTTGGGAAAGTGAGAAATGTTGTGAGGAGAAGTTATGGTTAAAATATTGGGAATTATTAGAATTTTTGGATCAAGAAAATATTTGAATTGAAGAAAGTACAAAAACCGAGTAATTAGAGAAACATGTTGTACACCAACAAGAACTATTTCATCAATATTGATTGAGATGGTGTTTGTTTTTGAAATATTTCAGGATGGACTATTCAATGTCAAAAATAAGATTTCAAATTACATGTGAAGCAGGGGTTCCCGAGTGGTCAAAGGGGGTAGACTCAAGTTCTACTGCGCAAGCTTCGTGGGTTCAAATCCCACCTTCTGCAGATTTTGCTTCTTTCTCCCTTAGTCTTTTTGAATAGACCACTATTTGCAAATATTTATTGTTAGTCCGACGTCTAGTTTCTATGGTAAAAACTTTGTTCAATTTCATAAAGACTCTATAAAGATAATCAATAAAGATAACACTGACCTCAAATATTCCAGCCTAAACAATTTGAAAAATACCATGCACAAAAAAGAAGAAAGACTACAAATTTGGCAAAGTGAAGGAAAAAGACTACAGCACCACAGGTTCCCAAGTTGTCTCCAACCTCAGTACTGATGTGGCTCGACGATAAATCGGACGGGATGAGGTGCATTCATCGTGATATGGCCGTAGCCATTCAATTGTTGAAAATTTGAAAAATAAATCAAATTCAAGCATGTTCTTGATAACAGGAAATATTGATATTTGTTGAGATTTATCATTTCACCACTAACAAATCAAATTGGAAAATTTAATTGTACTAATTTTTTATGGAATATTTTAAACTAGCTCATAAAAAAATGATGTTAAAACTGAGGCTTCTAAAAACGGATGTACAAATAGTTTTTAAAAAATAAAAACACAATTACCAAGATAGATATCCAAACCATCACTACAAGAAAATAAATTGTGTGAAAATAAATGATCTTAGAAAAAATCATAAAATGTTATCTCGAGTGCCGGGAATTGAACCCGGGTCGCCAGAGTGACAGTCTGGAATGCTACCACTATACCACACCCGATTTCACATTAATTAATATACATCAGCACTGTTATACAGCAACTAGACTTGACCTTAGTTCAATAGATTGTAACTCCAATAGTGCAAATTGAAAGGCAGAAACAAGAAAGAGAAATGTCATGTAAATCATCTTTCAGCAAGTTCTCCCAATGTACACGATTCGAATAAATCCAGAAGAAAAAAATGACCAGAAGCAAGAATAGTTGTAAGGGCAGCCAAAAGTTTAAACCTTCCTCTGCATACCGTGCCAGTTGGAAGAGTCATAACCACAAAGCAGCCCGAACAAGAATTCGCTCAGTCACTTCACAAGCCAACAAGGGATCTCTATTCGGAGGTGTTGAAGATTTGCCTCAACTTCATGAATATAGTGATAGATGGATGATAGATGATTTTAAATATATTTAAATAATAGGCAAATGCATTTAAATAAATTCTTCATCAATTCTTCATAAAGTTTGTAAAATTAATTGATAACCAAATTAAATATTTATTTCTATAATTGGAATATTACGAATTAAACATGTGTTTGATTAGTTCATAGGTAGAAATCATAATTGCACATGAAGGTGCCACTTTGAGACATCTTGGCATGAGTCCTCTCGAAAATCCTTTCATTCCCTGTGATTTGTAAATACTCCTCGAAATGTCAAACACTCCCACATGATTAGAATTGACATTTTGTGCATTTGTCTTGATTACATCGAATGGATGTGTAAGAGTTGTTGCAAAAACACCTCCAATAGCTCCACTCAGAAATGAAATCAAAATTAAATTACTGCATTTCACATCATCCCCAGAAGATAATCTTGCCTTACAATCCTTATTTGTTGCAATCAATAAATTATACTTTAAATTCTCGTAAAACATCCAATAAAGTGAAGAAAATGGAACATCTCTCAATAAAGTTGCTGAATATCCTCTCAGTAATTGATCCCACCTCAAATCACGTAAATAAATCTTTGTTTTCGATACTTGAGAAGCAGTTTTGAAATATTCAATCGGATTTGTAACTGTTACTGCAATAATTCTTGCCACACAACCTGAAATCAATGGAGTAAAAGTGTGTCCATAATCCTTGAATTGAACCTTGAATTTCTCATAAAGTGAATAGTAAATTCCATTATTAGGAATGGTCATTAACAATGTTGGCCTAAGTCCTCTCCACAATGTTGCAATTCCTTCATGTTTTACAATAGAAAGCAAGCCTCGGAATGTTGATTGAGGTAAATGATGATGTTTTGTATGAAGTTGATGAGAATTAGATTGTGTCTGAAGCCTACTTTTAATTACATCCAATGGACAAGTAAATACAGCAGTAAGACACGAACCAAATGTTGATGCAATGATTTGTTGAGTGAGTGGAGCAGGTTTACCAAAGGAAGAATGATACTTTTCTATTAGGAAATTAGATATAGATGAAGATGATGATGATTGTATAGGTTGATCATGATTATTATTATTATGAATATTAATGGCAGATAAAACAGATGGTGCTGATGAAGGAATCTTTGTATTATTTAAACTATTTAAATTATTATTGTTATCATCAATCATTTCTAATCGTGAAAGTATCACTCTCGGATTATCATGCACAATAACCGATGATGCTGATGATGATGAATACTTCTCTTCAATGTTCATAATTATTATTAATTATAATATCAGATAAATATTAATCTTAAAAGCAAACTCTTCAAAATATGTTAGAGTTTTGCCAATGAAGGTTCTTTTTTCTGATTGAATAAAAAGTATTATTCAATCTTCTTCCCCTACTCGATTCTATATTATAGCAACTTCAACAACACGGATTTGCATTGATTCTCTCTCAATCAATTTTATTAGGATCCCTATTTGGTAATTAATATATAAGCAATACCATCTAATGGTCAATGCTTTTTTCTTCTGTTTACCAGCAAACCATTGAATATCGAGATCAATGGTAATTGATGAGAATCCTTTAAGGTAGCATTAATTCAAGCTGTTTCCTTAGTGCATGAGGAGGACTCCTTCATCATCAAATCAATTTTGAATGTGTGTTGAATTAAAATCAATATCGGAATGGGTATCAGATCGTTGTATGAGCTTTTTTTCAACTCTAAATCATTTGTAAAAATAATAATAATATTAAATAATAAATATTAATAATATTAAATTATGAAAAGCTTAAGAATGTTGTGAGTGGGAAGAAATGAATAGACCTTCGTTCTCTCAGTAAAATAATAATCAAGGCTCATTGTCGGTAATCTGTTCAAAGGTTTCGAATAAACTTTGGCTTGAAACCACAAAACCATCAAAATCATCAACTGTTGTGATTACGATTTCTTGATGAGGTTTTTCTATTTTCATCACATAATAAAAATTCATCATCTCTCGAGTGTGGAAACAATATCCGAAACCTTTCAAAACTATTCGATATTAAAAAGTTGGAATTTAAAATTCTAAGAAGGATTAAAATTGTTCTTTATTTGCTATCTATTTAATTATGGGAGTTGATGGCAGTAATAGTGGAAACTTTACTGAAGTTTCGAATATGATTGCAAACATGGAACAAAATAAGCAACTATTCGAAACAATTACATCAAGAGCTACATTTGCTAGACATCATCGAAAACCACAAACTAGCAACAGCACGGAAAATTTAGAAACAAGAACAACATCAAATAATTTATACGAAAATTTATTGGAAACTAAAGGTGAAAATATTATTGGTCGTAAATCAAGTAATAGTTCGTGGACAGTAGAGGAAATTCCACTCTCTTCAAGACAATCTAAAAATTTAATGGAAACTTTAAACGAAACTCAACTAAACCTTACTGTTATTGTTCAAGACGAAAGTGATGATGCAATTATTAGAAGTGAAAGTGTAAAGAGTGATGAATCAATAACTATTCTAAATGAACTCTATGATGAGAATTCAATATCCGAAACTGAAAACTATTCGAATAGAATGAATGAAAATAAGAGAACTCCAATTCAGTCCTCAACTTCAAAGAAATTAAAATTTGATGCACTGATTCCAAACTCTATCAAGAATATGTTTCTTAGTACGAAACGTTCTCAACCTTCGAATAGTTTATACGAAGAAGAAAAACCCAAAAAAAATACCAAAAATAGAAAATCACCATCCCTTAGAAATGAAGGTGATTCAAATTCATCCACTTCTTCACCAATTGCTACTCCAAATGTATTAGATTCCATTGATAATAATGAAAACATAATTTCCAATTGGATTTCAATATTTGAAAATTTACAAAAATCTCAAAAAGAAGGAAATGATTCAACTTCGACCAGTAAGAATGGAAGTATTATTACAGTATCATCACCACCTAATACTACTACTATTGATAATAGCAACAATACTCAATTTTGTATGAATGGAAAAGAGTTTATTGATCTTATTCGAATGTCCTATCAGAATCTCTGTAAATCCAATTTAGTCACTTTGGATGGCAAAGTGTTATATGCTTTTGTTTCTACATTGATTACAATGAATTTGATGGTAGAATCTTCAACAACAATAGTTTCTAATGATGAAAATTCTATTCGATTATCACTTGCTTCAAATCTTTGCAGAAACGAAACTTTATTCGAAACTTTAAACCTCACCTTGTATCCAGAAAGAATCAAACAAGAAAAAGAAAAGGTCTTTGATGCATCATTACAATTTCTAAAGCATCAAGTCACTTGTCAACCGCCTTGCGCGCAAATTTTCAACTCACAAACTAATAACTCGACAGCTAGCAGCAATTTTAATGATCGTAACGAACAAGAATTGAACATAGATAAGAATATGCTACTACAACGAAGAGAATCAAAATTATTGCTGTCATTCGAAGAATTTTTAACTGTCAATAATCAATGCAAGATGGGATCATCATTATCTCATGAAGATGTAACAAATTCTACTATTTACAAAGCCGAGGATTTAGAAAAACAAGAAAAAACAACAAATAATTCAACATTTAACGAAATGTCATCACATCAATCAAATGACAAATTAGTTGAAGAAAATGCATCACAAACAACAACAACAGACTTGGCAATCTCCAATTCAGCAGCAAACTTAACATTACTCTCAAATTTAGGAACCAACGTCAGCAATCACATCAAACAACCTTCAAATAATTCTAATTGTAACAATACTCATTCAACAATTTCATCCATCACCACTCCTCCATCTTCTTCCAATGAAGAAATCTCCAATCCATCATCATCTACTCCTTCTGGTCCATCTCCTTACGAGTTGAAATTAAAAATTGGAGAGAAAAATCTTTCAGAATTGAAACAACAATTAAAAGATAGAAAACACAGATATGGTTTTTTAACTCCGACTCAGTTTTTGGAGTTTGGATTGAGGGCTGGTTTTGATGAGGAGGAGTTTGCTTCGATATTTGCAGTTACTTATTCAACATTAATGTCAGCTCATCAATTAATTCCACAAATGCAATATGTGATGAAAATTATTCTAAATGATGAGAAACTTCCAAAACCAATTACTGATGAAGAGGATGAAGAGGATGAGGATGGAGATTCTGGTGATCAGAATAGAGGTTCATTCTTGGAAGATGACTGTAAATTATCCAAAGAAGAAAAGAATAATGTTATTGGAAGAGTTTCTCGATTCTTAAAACAATTTGTACTTTTATCATTTTCTGATTTTAAATATGATAAGCAATTCCATGAGATACTGTATTCATTTGTTGCTCCATTGATTGGGTTTATTGATTTTGAGGCAAGTAATGGAGCTTTAATTCAGGAACAAGTTGTTGATTTGGTTGAGAGAATTACACTTGTAATATCGGGAGCTCACGAAGATCAGTTTTGTCAAACTGAAGTTGCTCCAAAACCTCTTATCAAAAAGCTGCCAACTGATCCAAGAAAAATCAATCTTATAGATATTGATCCAGTTGAGATTGCAAGACAATTGACACTTTTTGAATTTAGCTCATTTGAGAAATTGAGTGCTAAAGAATTATTGGGAGCTTCTTGGATGAAAGATTCCAAAGAGTGGACAGCACCAAATGTCACCCAATTAATTTGGAGATCTAATCAGCTTACTGATTGGGTCAGCACTTTTATTTGTAGTATAACTAATTTAAAGGATAGAAAAAAAGCTCTGAAACATTTAATTCATGTAGCAGATGCTTGTCTCGAGATTCATAACTATAATACTGTATTTGAAATTGTAATGGGTCTGATTTCTCAACCTGTTTACCGATTAAAGAAAACTTGGGAAGTACTCAAGGAGAATGATTTACAACGAGTTTGGAAACGATTGGAAGATATAACAAGTTTCCCTGGTAATAGAAGAGTTTACAGAGATCAGATACAAAAGGTCATTAAGGAATCTGTGGTAAAGATGACTCCTTGTCTGCCCTATCTCGGAGTTCACTTGAGTGATTTGGTCTTTTTCGATGAAGGAAACAAGGATTCAATGGAGAAGGGAATCACTACTTTTTACAATTGTACAAAACGATCATGTATGGGTCAAATTGTTTACCAAATTATTGCTGTTAAGAAAATTCCATATAACTTCCAAAAAGTTGACTTGATAGAACAATTCATTTGGTGGCAATTTAATAGTAAGGTGCTACATGACGAAAATGAACGAGATAAGCTTTCTAAAAAGTGTGAATAAACTTTTAAGGCATTTCCAAAACAATGAAACAGGCATATTCCAAGAACTTTGGCTATCGATTTATTAAACATTTGGAGTGGCAACGTTACCTCCTGAAGCAACTGGAGGGGCAACACCTTTTCCTCCTTCATGTCCACAACATGAACAAGTAAAGCAACAACAGAGAGGACAAATACAGCTACTGAGTTGTTCTATCTTGATATTCTCTTCAATGAATCTATTCAAACTCTTAGTACAGAAACGAGGAATGGTCGGATCATTGGTTCTCATTTCCATTTCAATCAAGAAGCATTGTAAAACAGTATCAATAGCACATTGGATAATAACGCAGAACAAACTAGCTACTGCGAAACCAATAATAAAAGCAATAGCAGCCAAGAAGATTGGATTTGAAATTTCCTTTTGATCAGTGTTAAGGAAGGTAGTCTTTGCAGCAATACCGTATGTGAAAAGGCATGTCAAGGCAGAAACAGCTAATTTGGAAAGAACCAAAACAGCTGTACTCAAACTTTGAGTAATAGACATTTGAATTGGATTTCTAATCATCAATAAGAAGGCATTCTTTGCAGATGTAAGGAAGCCAGTACCATACATGGCACATTGAACGTAAGCTTGTCTGTTCAAGAATTTGATAATCTTTTCAATAATCCACAAGACTGCTCTGACATACCAACCACATCCCTTAACAATACGATTACCCTTAGAGGCTGTTTCCAATTCTCTTTGAATCTTTTCAAAGATCAATCTTAACATTTGAATAATAGCAACAATCAATGAACCAAAAGCAGCAGTACCAAGATGGAAAACGGCTGTTCTTACAAAAGCTCTGACAACTGGCATACCCAAAACGAATCTCTTTTCTCTTCTCCAATACCAAGAGGCAATAGCACCACTCAAAGATAAAAATTCAGCTGCTTGAATAAATGCTAAAATCCATAAACCACCAAAGATGTGATATGCGAAAATTGCTCTAGTCCAGGTGGTCATTGTATATTTCACAGCACCTCCTGAAATATGAGTATCTCCTGAAGAGTACAAGAAGATACTGACAACACACCAATAAGCAGCAAAAAGACCAATAATAATAGCAAAAATAATTGGCATAATGAGAACCTGTGGCATGTACATGATAGACTTGGAGCTTTCTTGAATAATACCAATAGCTCTTCTAATTCTCATAATGAAAATAGCAGAAACAATAGCAATTAATAAACCAATTGCCATTGAAGCAACACCACACCATAAAATAACTTGAGAAACAGTGGTTGAAAGCCCCTTCAATTTCATTACTTGACTTTGAGTGTAACCATAGTAGGTCATGAAAGCACCCAATCCAAGGAAAGATAAAACGCAAATAATTAAGGTAAGATAGACAACAACACCAGAGAAAATTCTAATGAAAAGCAAAGTAGCAAAACCGAGAATCATGGCAATAAGAAGGGCAGCAAACAATACTTTCCAACCTCGTGTGATATCATCCCAGAAAGTGCTTACTACATTACTGGCTTCATCAATAATTGAAGAATAATTTCCACCCAATTTCAACTTGGAAATTGTATCAATAATTTGACTTGCACTTGTGTTGGTAAGACTGATAGTAGGAACACATCTATTCACAACATCCTTTAAAAGAGTTAATATCAATAAAATTATTTAAATACTTACATAATAAGTCAATTGTGTTGAAACAGCTTTTGTAATGTCATTGACAGGGAAAATCTCATCTCTATCTACTCTCTTGGCACTACAATAACTCAAAAATGGAATGTCAAAACCAGCAAGTTCATATGATGATGTAGTTAATTCTGGTGGACAATCAGCAGTTCTGTTCAAAAGTTCCAAAATAGTATCACCTGTAGATCTCAATCCAGGACAATAGCTCACACACTAAATTTTTTAAGAAATATTGAATTATCTCACTACTTACAATACCACCATAATAGAACGGATCCAAAACTTCCATAAACCACAAATAAGCCTGAGAACTAAGATCAGTCTTCAATGGCTTTACTTTCTGTTCACACAAAGCCATGGCTGTAGTATTCTTTCCACTATCAGAATTAATACAATCGATATCATAAGGTATTTTAATTACATTTGCAGATTCATTCTTGTTGTCTTGTCCGCAAGTTCTTCCCATATAATCCGTACCATCTATATGAAACATCAAATATTACATGATGAAATTTTAATACAATTAATATACAATTAATTGCTGAAATAATTAACTTACAATACAATTTGCTTGGTGTTCCGTATTTGAAAGCAATGACTGCAATAGCAATCATACCAAGACAATATAAAACAAATAATATTAAACAAGGTATATCAGTAGGAAAACGTCCCTTTTTCTTTACACGAGTAATTTGAGGATTATACTTGGTGGCTTCATTAAAATTTGGTTTATACTTGGCATCTTCTGGTTCACGATCATCATCAGAATTATAATCGAGTTTACTGAATGATTCACCCTCTTTTGGTTCATCATCTTCATTACTGCCGGAATGACAAAAAGAAGGACAAGATGGCATCCTATTGTTTTTGTTTGAAATAATACAATTAGAAAATTAGAAAAAGTTTGGCGGGAAAATAGATAATAGGTCTATTGATATGATGCTGCTAATATCAGCTGATGATGGCGTGTAATTAAATGATGACGAAAAAGCCTAAATCGAGGCAATTTTTTGTATCTTGAAAAAATTCTCTTCAAAGGTGATGGTGCAACAACTCTCTTGCTGGTCATGATGTTGTCCACAGGATTATGACTGCTATTCGTTGAAAATCTTCTCGAACGTTTAGCTACAGTAAAATAAGTACCTTGTTCTTGAGAGAGAAATAAAAGCATAATTGTGAAGTTTTAATCGTCGCATGTCAAGGAATTTGTACCACTTGAATTAGAAACCAACAAAGCAGAACATCTGAACAGAACTTATTAAATAGTTAATGATTGGTTGTTTATGGAGGAATTAGAAGGCAGTAAAGGAACGAGGATAAAGAATTCAATACTTAAATACTGGGTTATTGAGTCTTGACTTTCTTATTGACCTTCTTCTTGCAGCAACAAATTGCAAAAAGTATTATTGGACCAATGATCAGTGAGGCACAGATAATGAGGAAAGTTCTCATGATATTCACTTTTTCAATGGCAAAGAGTTTGTGTTCTGTGGAAACAAATTGTTCACTACCAAAGAGAGCTACTTGACGAATGATAGTGGCAGCTGAAAGAGAGGCTGGTGACAGTGTGGAAGTGGCATTTGATTCCAATACTCTTTGGAGAATTTCTCTATTTACACCCAATGCAGCCATTTCCTTATTGATGAGTTTGATTGTTTCCATTTTTTGAGAAATTTCATTTGATTTTTCTAATAAGAATCGAATGCTCTTAATTGTTTCTTCTTGATTTTCCAAATCATGGATTGTTTTTCCTATTCCTGCATCTTCTGCTCTGATGGAATTCAAGAATTGATCTCCAAATATTGGGAATAAGAGTAGAGGAACTGTGGCATCAATAGATTCGAAAAGTGAGTGAGCTCCAGCATGAGAAACAAATATAGAAACAACAGGGTGTCTCAATACTTCCACTTGTTTGACCCATTTCTTAATGAGAATTTGCTTAGACCATTCCTTATCCATCGAAGAATCTCCAAATATCTTATCCTTATTCTCAGAGTTTGAGACAAAGAGAATATTGAGGGACGGGTCAGATTTCATGATTGCTTGTATCATCTTTCTGGTATGATCAAGGGAAATTATGACCTTAGTGCCAAATGCAATGTAAACAACCTTCTTCTTTTTACCAGCAATCGCATCAAGCCATACCATTTCATCTTGAATTTCATCGATAGAGGTATTCGAATCACTTCCAATTATTTGTCTGGTTGCTGGTGATTTTTCAATATGATTGAACCCAACAAATTTATGATTTTGTGGAACTGGGAATGAATATTCGAAAATACCTGGAATAGTGAAATGAATTGTCACTTTGTCATTTGTTTCAAAGAATGGACCAGATACTGCTGGTAATCCAAGTTCTTCCCTGAGTTTAGTTACTTCACCAAGAGTTGGATAAGCCATCTTGATAAATTCAATGAATTCAAATACTTGCTCCTGCAACTGAGTCTTCAAATAGGAAACAATGCCATCACGTTCTAAAATTGCCCTTCCTCTAGATAAACTAGTTTCAGCAATTGGCAGTTGAGGTAAATAGGATGGTCCACCAGAGTATCCATACATAATTGGTGGAGTGTCAATAATCACAAATTCAATTCCTTCAAATTGAGACCACTCCAACACTGAGCTAAATAATCCATCAATAACAAGTAATAATCTAATTTTTCCTTCTCTACTTTGCTTCAAAGTATTGGCCAAAGATAGGTCACAATTTGATTTTTCATTGAACAAATCTTTGATTCCAACAATTCCCATTTCATAGGCCTTAGAAATTATGGTAAATGCTGCCTTAAATCTATCCATCTTTGGAATCTCACTCTTTGCATAGACTGAGAGATTATCCATTGTTTCTTTGAAATTAAATCTATCGTCAATTTTACATTGAATAATGTTGAACTTTCCATCATGGTCAATTTCAAAATCATTCACAAAGGAAACAAAATGAATATTTTGCTTTCTAATTCCAGACACAATTGAGTATGCTTTTGCCAATGCCTGAAAATCCCGAACATGAGAACTGTCTGGTACTGTTAAAAAGACAACCACTTGTTCCTTGTGGCTATAATTCGGAACTGTTTGTGCTTTGATTTCCATGAATAATACTAATAGTAACAACCCGATGACCGTGAACACAGTACGTGTGGCCAAAGGTTTCATACAATGTTGTGTAGACATTTTTTTGGTTTTGGTTTGGCTATCTCGTGGAAATATCGTCTCCCTTTTGAAGTGGAGTTTTGAGAGGGAAGAATACTATCAAAAATGCTTTGACGGTATTATGGCGGAAATGAGAGCGGGTCCAAGGAAATACAAATTTGGCATGTGTGCGTTGTTGAGCTTGGGTTTCAACTGTAATTATTTTACAATTTTTATGAGAATTTGAGCGGTCATCAAAATCTCTAAGGTTTTTTTGTTTTGTTGAAGTTCTTAGCAAAATTGATTTCTTTCATAAAGGCTTGAAAGAATACTTCATGCATGGTTGACTTGTTCGATATTAAACCTAATGTCACAAGATTGTTCCTACTCTTGTTAGTTCTTTCATTTTAAACTAAACAATTCAAATCCTAAGAATGCTTACTTGAAATAATTATCACCACCTCACCCAAACTGATCGCCTTACTGCTTATGAGCCGAAATGATTGAGAATCTTTGTGGCGCCTTCATAAATCTACGAATTTCCAAAAATCAACCAAAAAGGGCCGAAAGCAAGTTAAAAAAATAGAACAATATTCTCGCTCTAGGTTGTAGTCATACAAAGAACTCTCAGTAATAGTTCATCATTTCAAATCGTCATCACTAATAGGTCGGCTAGGAATTTTTGAAATTATTCAAAGCTTTGAAAAAGTTCAAAATTGTATTATATTGAATATTAAATTGTAATTAATAATTATAGGAAATAATGGGAGCCAAATGTGCAAAGGATGATACTACCAGCTCATCTAAAGTTGAGGATAATTCAAAGAGTAAATCGGAAGAGAGAAAAAACACTCCTCCGAAAGAAAAGAGAGAATTAAAAATTTATACAATGGATGATGTAGCCAAATCGGAATGTTGGATGGTTGTGGATGGATATGTGGTGGATTGCACTGGGTTTGATAAAGACCACCCTGGTGGTGCCTATGCAATTGTACAATATGCCAAAAAGGATGCAACTGATATATTTCTCTCATCACATGGCAAACGAGGTGTTGCCAAAATGAAGGCATTAGCCATTGGAACAATAGATGGTTATAAGGATATCGGAAAACAACTAGCAGATATAAATTAATTATCAATTTTCAATTAGGACCTTTAAAGTACCTGTCATGATTGTGAACTTGTTGGGATGAAAAAGTTCTTTTTTGTAAACCATCAAATATTAGACATTAAAAAATACCTCAACATGAATTGTCGCGAATCGGTTGATATTTATATTTCTGCCAACAACTTGCAGAGAATGGATCTACTTTCCAAGAGTGATCCATTTGCAAAATTGTATTATATGGGACCATCAACGAGTGGATCATCCAATCAACCAATAATTAGTACCTCATTCACATGTTTAGGAAAAACGGAAACAATTCAAAATAATTCCAATCCATCATTTGCTAAAAAGTTCAGTCTTTATTATTATTTTGAATATTCACAGAAATTAAATGTAGAAATCTATGATGATGATGGTAAAAACAATTCACAACTCATGGGAAAAACACAAGAATTCACCCTCTCTCAGGTTATCTGTTCACGAGATGGTAAATTTAAAGTTAATCTTGTAAATACTTCAGGAAAAGTTGTTGGACAAGTTTTTCTTCATGCTGAGAAAGTCGTAAAACAAGCTGATGTCAATCCATTCTCAGAAGAAAGAGAAAGATTGGCTTTCCAACGATTTTCAACTCTTTCCTACCAAGCTCTTAGGGATTTAGTAATGGAAATTCCAAAAGTTGTCCCTACCGATGTCAAATACGTTCATTTCGTTTGTTGTGCTAGAAATCTTGATAAGAAGTAAGTTAATTTCATTGGCTTTTAATTCAAACTTGTTAATTTTAGGGATCTGTTTGGAAAGTCGGATGGATTTTTCTATTTTGAAAAGGATGTTGCCTCTCGTAGAGAAAAGTTATATCAAAGTGAGGTTATTCAAAAGAATTTAAATCCTGATTGGGCCACCTTCTCTCTTAATTTGGATTTGTTTAACAATGATTTCAATAAGAATATTCATGTTAAATGTTATGATCATGATAAACATTCAGATGCTGACCTCATCGGTGAATTCAGTTTCACTTTGGATGAAGTGATCAACCAAGGAAAAAAACAATTCGACCTTATAGAGCCAACTCTTGCTTCTAAAAAGAAAAATTACAAAAATTCTGGCATCTTTGAATTTACAGATTGTCAAATAATTATAAAGCAAGAGCCAAAACAAAATCCAGAATTATCAATTTACAATCAAGTAATAGCACTAAAAGAAAACAGAAATGCAGAATTTATGGACTATTTATTTGGTGGATGTTCAATTTCAGTTTCTGTTGGAATTGATTTTACTGGTTCTAATAGAGCATACACTGAGTCGAATTCTCTCCATCATTTGAGTGGAAAACAAAACCAATATCAACAAGCTCTCTCTCAAGTAATGAATATTTTGGAACCTTATGATGTGGACAAGATGTATGCTGGTAGGTATTTGATTGAATTATTATCAAATTAACAATGAAAAGCCTATGGTTATGGAGCTACTGTAGATGGTAAAGGAATGAAGCCAATGTTTAATTTATCCCTCACAGATCAGGAGGAATTGCATGGAGCTCAAGAAATATTAACTGCCTATGCAAATGCTCTCCCTAGATTATCATTTGGAGATATGGGAAGTGCCACCAATCCAAAAACAAAACAAAGATATTGGGGAGATGACTTTTACAGACTCATTGAGTGTGTTGTTGAAAAAACTCCAAAAATCCATCAAAACCATCAGTTCTATAACATTCTTCTTCTCATAATTGATGGAGATTCATTTGACATGCAATCAACAATTAATTCAATCGTCGATGCAAACGATAAGCCAATTTCAATCATTATTGTTGGTGTTGGAAATAGTAATTTCAGTAATTGCAGAAAATTTGATGCTGACGACGAACCTCTCGTTCATAGCAATGGAAAGAAGATGACAAGAGACATTGTTCAATTCGTTAGATTTGCAGATTGTTCCTCAGTTGAAGAATTGGCCAAGCAAGTATTAGCAGAGGTTCCAAAACAATTAGTAACCTTCTTTGAGGCTAAGAAAATTGTGCCAAACCCTAGACCTTTCATCCAACAACCACCATACTATTAAGTGCACACCCCCAAGAAATGAAATGTTAAATATTGCATGTTCACAATCAAAGTCACCACCCCATTGAATTGGAAAGAAAGAGGTCACACCCAATAAATATAACAATCTTTACATGTGATTCAAACAGCATGTTGTGTGAAATCAGCGAATTTTCTTTTAACAATGTATGTTAAATGACCAATTCCTTAAACAGCTATCAAGTGATGATATCAACATTGTTGAATGAATTAATTCACACAATTTCCCTACAAGATCAAATATCTTCTTTGAGTCCTCACTTTGCAGTGAAAAAATCTAAAGAGCGAACCTACTACTACAGCACATTATTTAACATACCATTGTAAACTAACTCTCGCTATTAATTTCTTTCCTTGTTGCTCTCATCACAAGCCCAGTACCAATCTGGGAACCAAACCTCCATTTGTACTGACCATGTTTTAATTCGTAAAAAACTCCTCAACACCTACCATCAATTTTCTCCTTTCCTTTAACACAAAAACAGCAACACACTATCCTCTCTTCAATTATAAAGTGTTGAGTTTTATTGTGTTATAGTGTGCAAGATAATAGTAATTAGACAACACAATATAATTTCTTGCAAGCTGTTAGGCAAATAATTGTCTGAATATTCAAATCCTTGTCGTGTTTTTGTACTCCGAGAAAAGGGTTGATTTTTCCTCCACAATTTTGGAGTAACACACTCGAAGTGGACAACAACAATTAATAATCAATTAATATCAAAAAATTGAACAAGTGCATCCTCATCTAGGAGTTTTTTCAGAGAGGGTCTAAGAATCGCTCAGCATCATTAATATCTTGTTGGGATCTTTCGGAAAGTTCCAAGCCAATCTTCCAACACACGTATTCAAAACAATCAAATAATATACATCCTATTGGAAATTACATATCTTCATATCAACAACAACAACAACAATAGAAAAATATGATTACACTGGAATTGAAGGATGATATAGAGGAATTGCTGAATGATAGTCTGTATCGTCTCGTTAAATTTATTGGATACGAACCAACAGGACACTTTATTGTGGTTTGTTTTTCAATAGGTGATCAGAATCATCAGCCTTTGAAAATTAGTGATGATGAAGATGAGTTTGGATCATCAATGGGATTGGATTCACCACAGAGTGTTGTTCATGTGGATTTCCTCTCGAGAAAGGTTAATTTACTTTGCAAATTATCTCCGACCCTTGATTGCTTTGGTGCTTCACTAAATTTCAATCACTCCATACTTTCAATAACAACAAGTAGAATATTGTACAAAATGGTGAATAATGGAGCAAGTTTAGTGGTTACTAATAGTGATTTAAACACTTCTTCTTCATCTTCTTCATCCTCATCACCATCAGCAGCAACATCATCACTGGGAATGGCTTCACAAGTTAATATACCAGGTGTTCCTTCAGTGAATAGTTATGAAAATCGTAATTTAAAAGTGAATGAAACTTATCAGATAATATCTAATTTAAAGTCATTCCTTACAAAGGAGAAGGAAGGAAATTCAATATCATCATCATCAAATGGATTGACTCCGGTAGCTCCTTCCATATCAAATCCTGCACTATTGGCTCAACAAGAGAGAATTGTACTTTACGAATCGTATTTTGTTGAACTAAAAACAAAAACAAAGAACAAGTAGGTATTAATTGCTTTATAATTTAGATTAATGGCTTTTTAACACAAATAACACAGATCTCCACAAACTTTATTTAAAAAGTCGGAAGCTCCACAGAGCATTCAATTCATCCATAGTAATAGATTGAAGAATGGAAAGAATTACTTCTTATCATTTTCATCAGGATCTATTCAGATATTTACCTTCTCGACAGATCCAAAAACTGGAGCAATGAAAGGTCCACCAAAAGAAGTTAAAACGATCACTTCAAAATCTTATCCAGATGGTGATTCTCCCTCTTCATTTTCTTCATTGTTTTCATCAAAATCTAATCAACCTAGTGAAGATAATGAAGTAATATGGTATCAATGGGATGTTGATACTCACTTATTGTATTTTATAGTTCGATCACCTTTCCCTTCTGCCAATTCATTTGGAAAAATGAATCTAGTATTATATTGTTGGAATATAGACCTTGATGGACTTCAACTCGTGTACAAATACCCAATTTTGAATCACCTCCCACCTGATCTTTTGCATTTTGGTTCTAGAGATTTCCCAGTTTCATCCATGATTGACCCAATTATATTTTCTGGAAGAAGTAATACTCTTACTCCAAACTATTTCAATAGCTACTTTTTGGAAACATCAACCATTAGAATGCAAATTGTAAAACTTGAAAATGGTAACGATATTTTATGTATGCAATATAGAGATTTGCGACCGAGCACTCAGGAAAATGTGATGAATGTTTATATTTATCACTTTAAAGAAAAGAAGTGCTTAAAGCTAAATGTAAGTGTTTGATTGATTACATATTTGATATTGACTGAAAATTAGTTACAATCCAAACATTATCTTTTGATTAGCAAATATAAGAAGAATAATCTTATGTTATTCCTTCCAAATAAGTATTTGCAATTAATCAAGGGAAATACCCTCTCAACAATTTTCCAATTCAACAAGAATCAATTCAATCTCTCTCTTCACAATGAAATGCCTGTTAAATTAGATGAGCCTCATCTCCTTCCAGTTTTCAGTCACATGGAAGGACATTTTATTAATATAAGAAACGGATGTGTTTTCAATTTTGACCTCATGATAACATATTTGACCAGCTCACATTGGCTCCAAATCCCTGACCTTGTTAACGATCAATTCATACCAGTTTTGGAATTTATTTTATTTAATTATCCTAAAGATGTTGCCCTACAATTTTTGAGTTATTTATTCTACAGTATGGAAAAGTCACCTCACAAAAAGAATATTCAGTTTTCCAAGTTAATTTCTCTTGGTATGAAAGAGTATATAATAGGAGCTTGTTACCAACAGGCCATTTTCAAAGGAATGGATCCAGAATTTATTTCTTTACTACCAAACAATAGACACGACTTTTATGACAGTATTTTAGGAGTAGTATCGAGCTTGATCAAGAAGAAACAACTCAATTTAGGCTCGTTTTCATTTGACAGTCCTAGAACTGGAAGTGCAAACACTCCACAAAGCCCATCTCCCTCTAGTCCTCAACAAACATTAATTCTTAATAATGAAACCTATGAGGAATATATCAAATTTGCCATATTTTATGGAAAATCTATCAAGAATTGGAATGCAAAGAAATGGGCCTCTGAATTTAATGCTATTTTAACAGAAGAGATGGAATTGCTATCAGAAACCATCATGTCTCAAAAGAATGAAGAAGAGAAATACTTCTTCATATTGATGGAGTGTTTCTATACTTCCCTTCTGTTAGATTATAGACTTCCTCCTCCGGCAGAGTTCAATTTCAATTTTGTAATATCTGGTTTTAAAGCTTTGGAAAGAGATATTTTCTATCAATACTGTGATAGAGGAGTATTCGAAATTAATAATCAAGTAATTAATGCATTGTGTCAAGCGGATTTATTGACAAAAGAATGCAAGGAAGATATTCATTGCTTGAATTATTTATTGAAAATCTCAGTAGACCCTGTAAATATTTCATATGTAATTAGTCATCTAGAGGGCATTGAAGACTGCCAATTTGCAATAAGCAATTATTATCATACTATATTCTCAATTAATGCTGATGATTGGTCTGACCATGATCTCAATCAGAACTCTCTCAAGAAAATCCTAAAAAAGAAACAAAAGAAACATAACCAAGAAAGACACGAAAGAGAGCATCACTCTTTTATCAGAGACCAAATTTTAAATATTATGGGAACTAGGGCCAGCTTTAATTCTTCCTCATTCAATTCATCATTTGGAGCTAATAATTCAGAGTATGGATCCTTGGTTGAAGAACCAAGAAAGATTGAAGGTGATGATAGTGAAGAAAATAATTCTGAATGTAGTGATGTCAGCGTTATTTCAGTCTCGGCAACTCATACCACATTTGCACCTTTGGTTTCTTACTTGTTGAGTATTCAGAAATTGAGCCATACAGCCTCAACAATTGTTGGTGATAAATCACCACTTTCACAGCAAGAACAACCATCAACACCAAAACAAAAGTTTGAGGATGATGAGAGCAGTTTTGTTGGAACAACACCAACTGCAATATTTTCCTCAAATCCTTTCAATTCAAATGGATTGTGGGCAAAAGAGAGGGATTATATTCAAAGTGTTGCTTCTGAGCATTACTTGAAGAAACATTTCTTTTAATAAATCGTCTTAATTAATGTTAAAACAAAAACTTGGAAATGATTTTTGAATACATTCGGTACATGTTTCATGATATGATGTTCCACCATTAATTATTAGGCAACCCAACTTGCCTTGTGAGAGCAGACAAATAAAGCTACCTTCTGAGCTGACATTAATATTTTCAATATTAATCTTTTCCTTGATATTGTCGACCAGTTGACCGGTTAATTTGATATTTTCAATTTCTAAATGTGTTATAAAGGTATTACCAAGAAGGGCATCTAAATATTTGGTAGGCATGGAGGGATGGTAAAAGTTGAGGGAAAGTTTCAAATGTTTGACTGGAAGTTTTGAAATTTGATTCAGGTATTCATCAGAAATTACAAACTTCTCTTGCATACCTATTGTGAGGGAAGGTAGAATCCAGTCAGGTGAATTAATTTTTTTCAGATCTTTAAATAGTTCAATCAGATATTTGGAATGAACTTCTTCTACGAATGAAATTTCTCGAGCAGCTTTCAGTATGGTTTCACCACTTGAATTAACAGAGTGTTCCATATTAACTGGAAGAGTTAAACTCAATTTAAGTCTATTACTATGTTTGAGAATATTATTAACGCAGCCCAAGTCTGCAAGATAGTCATCAAGATATGATATATCAATAAATGAAGGAGGTTTGAATGATAGTAAATGTACTCCAAATACTGGAAAACTCTTCCAACACATTCTATCATGTTCTGAATATGTATAATGTTTTACCAAACTTATTATCTTGTTATGTTTTTTTCCGAATGCAAATTTTATCAACTTGGAACATAATTTTTCATGGAAAGGTTCTGTATCATAAAAAGGATTGAATTCTTCATCATCTTGATCATTATTTTTGATAAATATTTTCACTGTATCATTCCATATTTTTCTAAAAACTGGAAACTCAAATCTAACATTTTTAATATCGAATACAGAAGCAGATGGTGAAAATTGATGAGCTCCTGCTGAAGTAGGTGATGCTGGTGATGAAACTCTTGATGATGGCAGTAAATTGACATATTGGCTCTCCTTGATGGAATTATTACTCGATAAAAACACTCCACTTCCAATTTCTTCATCATGATGTTGATTATTCGAAACTCCACTATTTCTATTTCTCCTTATATTACTCTTATATTTAGTAAAAATTGATTTTTGCAGTAAAATACTCGGTGTTTCTTGTTCTCCTAGGAAATCACAAAACTCAAATATATATTGAATAGTATCAATTGTTAATAGTTTCTTACAACATTCGGCTAACACTGCAACATCTGACAAATCCCTCTTATCTTTAGGTGATGGAGGAACTGGTTTAGTTTTCTTATTGTTTGATCCATTATTATTATTATTGGGTGATGAAGATAATTCAACTGCAGATGGTGGTGTTGGTTCCTCATTATTTCGAATACAAATACAACTAAATCCCATGATAATGATGATGATTAATATATGTACTATATAGTAAAGTCAATTATAATGATGATAATGATTATTGTTATATATATATGAACAACAATAACAACAGAAGAAGAATATAGATGATGAATTTAACCGAACCTACAGCAACAATATTCGATCGAATATATATGCTTCTATTATATAATGATTACTAGTTGTTGGTTATTGTTTCAACAATTTTTCTGCTGCCTATGAAGATAATGAAAAAAACCTTTGATCTTCAAAGCCTTTTTGTTATTGTAGATTTTTCTCCTTTCGTGGTTGGCGGGAAAAGTTGTGGCCTTTTTTTCAAAGAGAGAAAAATGTAAAATTTTTTGACGCTGCGATTTTTCCCAGAACTTGGTTTCGAATTGTTGTGTGGCTTTAGAATTTGATGAAGATTATTGGAAACTAACAACCAACTGCTACTGGATAGAAGAGATGTTGATGGGTTGGAGTGTGGAGTGTGTGAAGGAGTTGATGGACTGTTTTTTTACACTAAACACTTGAAAATTACAACCAATGTTTACAATGGCTAAATTGTGTGCATAGGAGGATTCGTCCAACAGAATTTTTACCCCATGAGAATGGATGTTGTGGTTTAATTTATCCTCATTGGTTGACTTTCCAAGAAAATGCACGTGACATGTTGGAATGGACTTGTGAAACGTGATTACATTTCGAATATTATTCGAAAGTGGTCATGACAAAGATTTTTAACAAGATTCAAATTATTCATTTACAAGTCACACAAAATATTGATAATATTTTAAATATTCACACTTTCGAATAAGTTAAATAAAAAATTAGAAACATTTTCTATGAACAACACATGGTCCTACTTCCTCATATTGATCCTTACTGATTGCCAAATTTTCAAATGTTGATAAACTTCCAAGAATGCTAGCTCCAATGAAGGTCGATATTTTCCTCTCACTAGGAGCATCCACTCTAACATTTGCACTCACAGGAGATAATGCAAAAAGTTCATGATGCAAACGATCTTCAATTCCTGGGAATAAGGAACTTGCACCACTGAGTAGAACTCTTGAATAATAGTGGATTCTATGGAGGTCAATATCTAGTTTCATGATGGAGTTGTGGATGGCAGTGCTAAGATTTGTTTGTTCAATTTCATAGAGTTGAGGATGGAAATAAAGTTCTGGAGCTTGAAATCTTTCCTTTCCAATATCCAATTTAGTCTTGTCAGGTAATTCAAAATTAAATGATTCCATTTCTTGGTCATAATCTTTGGCAACATAACATTTCTTTTCTTTCAAATCTCTAACAATCTCCTTCTCAGCAAATGATTCCACACCATGTCCATTCAATTTCACTAAATTAATTAAATAATCAGTGATGTGTCTTCCACCCAATTCAATTGTTGAGCTAGCATATGGTAAAGCATTTCCTTCAAACATTGGAACAATTTGAGTTTCTTCCTCTCCCATATTAACAACCACAGCATTTAATTTTCCAGAAGCAAAAGCACTCAATACCGAATCATTGGCCAAATAAAAACTTGGAGCATTGAAAGTTTCGAACATGATTTGTGTAATTTTTTCTCTTTCCTCTTTTGGAGTATTTAAATGTTCTGTTAAAATAATTGGAGCTTCCTCGGGAGCAACTCGTAGAGCTTCATAAAAAGTGAAGTGCCAAATATTTTCCATATAATCCCAGTTACTGATTCGTCTATTTTCGAATGGACTTTTATTATCCAATTCACTCGAAAATCTTCCAATAATAAATTCTTTTTCAGTGGAACTACCAATTAGAGGACGTGCTGGATTTCTTGCAATGGTTGTGGGAAAGACTTCCTTTGGTGCATCTTCACCAGAAAAACCTGCTTTAATGGCATAGGAGCCATTATCAATGACAATGGCGGGTGTGAGTTCTGACATTTTTTTTTGATTGTGAACTTTGTCATGACAGGTTAAATAAACAACTAAAACATTGCAGACAATAGCATGTATTCCGATGTTGTCATCACATTGAATTATCTTTTCATTTTGTTTTGTATATTTTTTATTTCTGATTAAATACATATGCAATCAATCAAATTGTAAAGTATTAATAGATTAATTATTATTGTAAAGTTGTGTTTGATTTCACCATTTTGAAAGGAATGACCTTTGAAAATCGTAACATTTTAACGAAACTAGCAATGAACACACTTTGAACTCGCTCTATTTGTTTGAAAATTTAATTATGTGGACACACCTTATGGAAATTATTATCCTCCCGTTGTAATCTCACAATCTTTAATAAAGAGACAACCACAAAATCTGTTCTCAGAAAAACCATTGAAAAAAAATGAAAACAACTCAAATCTTATTGATTGCTATTCTTGTTTCCTGTATGGTTATTTCCTACACTCAAGCATCTTCTCCAGGTTGGTTGATTAATAGAAGATACAAGGAAGAATCTGATTATGCTGATGAATTGGCAGATGCTTTGGTTGATGTAATCCTTTCTGATAAGGTTGCACATGAAGTTAAACCAAATAATGCTGGAAAGTACAATCCTGATGAAATCTTTTATAAGAAAAGAACTAGAGCATTGGCTGATAGATTGATTGAACATATTTACACCACTTTTGATGAACCAACTCCTACTCGTCCATCAAAGAGATTCATTCGTGAAATGGCCGATAAAATAGCCTATGAAATTAAGGCAAATAACGCTGGAAAGTATAATCCAGATAGACCAGTAAAATAAACCATGTTTGTTTACCATTTACGTTTTTGAATGTAAACCGATGATAGCTCAGCTGGTAGAGCATGGGACTGTAGCAAGAAAAACTGTCATCCTGTGGTCGGCGGTTCGATTCCGTCTCATCGGATAGTTTTGCCCATGTTATTATTGTTTAAGGATACAAATTCTCAATCAACAAATCAAATTCCTTTGGATATGAAGATGAATGAACACATTTATTCCATGTTGTGAACAAGAAGCTTAAATCCCAGGGATTATCTTTGTTTTTCATCAGCATTAAAAAAATGGAATCACAACCAACCTTCATTGATCAACCTTTGGGCAAGTGTTTAGACAGTATTTCATCAACCATAGATGATGAATTTTACTTGGTTGACTTGTCCAAATTAATCAATTAAATCAGAAAATTGATGATGAAAAAAGACCCATTCGTGCCTCCTTTTCAACACTATTCAGAACATCTCATTCCTATCCAATTGTCTACATTGGTTTCATGGAATTCTCTGAATGCTCTCTTTTATAATGATAAGATATTTCTCTATGATTTGGAATGTGGAAAGTTTGTTAGTGAAAAGCCAATAATCTTTTCGTCAAGTGATGATAGCTTCTCTTTCTCTGGCTATTGCTATGATGATAAGTGTCAAATTATTCCATTCTTGGAAGGATTGAGATTAAGAGTGTTCATTCTTAGAAATTGCAAACTTTACGAATTGGTTTGGAAAGAGGAAGGTAATAAGATAAAACTAATTAGACACTTAGATTGGATCTCACATATTGAATTGGTTGTAAGACTGGATAATTTTGGGTTATTGATTAATGACTTTGAAGATTCTGTTATGTTTACAATCCACAACCTTTCAACTCTTCCAATCAAAAGGAAGAAGGAGAGTTAAGGCATATTCCAAATGTACATTCTAATAATTTATTATATGCTCCAAAACAATTGTTTCTAAGGAAAGAAATGAATATCAAAAGGTTTTGACCATTTCTGATATTGAGCAAATCATCCCTCAAAAAATCAAAGACATTTTCAATGAAGAGGACTTTTTGGAAAGGTTAAGGAAAGATCAGGAATATAGTCTTTATATCCCAAGATTAATTACAGATGCTATGATTCCTATCACTGTGGATAATCAACGAATCACCCAAGCATACCAAGTTCAAGAAGGTAGATATAATGATGTTGAAATAGTGGCAGGATTGAGGTGTAGAAACCATTTGGACAGCAAGCTCTCTGAAATTATCGCAAAAGATTACATTGAACTCGATCCAGAAGATTTCTCCAATTATCTTGGGTCTGCCATCATATCTTGGAGACAACATGTTGATATATAATAACCATATTGTGGATATGAAGGACTGTAGGAAATCCTCCAAGTTACTTCAGGTAGCTCACATAGGATTGGGATCTATTTATTCAAGTATTGATTTGAAAAAAGTTGAATTTATTGGAATATTATCATGTAAGGAGCCAAATGAAACGGAACAATGAATGTGGCTGTTCCTTTTTATTTACGAGATCTCAAAATGGACATGTTGATTTTAACTTTTTTCCATATTTGGACATTTTCTGTTTTTGTTTACTATTGTTTTGTTTGGTTTCAATTTCCAAAGTAAAAAAAATGATCAATACTCAAACTAATGACATTCTCGCACCACCAACTCAACTAATTTTCATTCAATATTTATCCTTTCTTATGGATAGTTCCTTTCACATCACCATTCCTATTATTCGAAAGCGAATTTCATTTGGTTTTGATCCAATTTTCGGTTTCGTCCCATTCGTTGGAGATTTCATATCCTTTGGTGTCTCTTGTCTAATTCTTATCATGATTTGGCGACATGGAATGTCATTTTCCATTCTATGTAGAATGGGAGTCAACATTGTACTCGATTTTCTAATAGGATGTATTCCAATTATTGGAACAATATTTGATTTCTTCTTCAAAGCCAACAAGAGAAATTGGAAAATGCTCTGCAAATATTACAACTTTGATCCAGAAATGTATAAATTCAAGAAAGATTTTGTCGACTTGTATCGTGAATATAGAAAGAAACAACTTAACATTAATCCTCAATCAACTGTTTGAGTAATATGAAATTAAACTAATTCAACTTCATTAATTGAGAATCTCCATAATTTGTCCACAACCAATCCAATTTCACACACATTATCATCACATTGTAAACCCATCTCCAACCGATAATCTCCGATCTTCGAAAATCAAAAGGAAACAACAAAAAAAAATGAGCAACACATCAACAACCAACCTCGCCACACCATCATCAACAAGATATCAATCTTTTGCAGAATTTTATCCATTCTATCTTTCACAACATTCCAATCCAATTTGTAGAATTTTACACGTTGTAGGAACATTTAGTGCTGCATCAACTGGTGGTTATTTATTATATAAAAAGAAATATCAATTGGCTCTTCCTTCCATGTTGTTGATTGGATATGGTTTAGCTTGGATTGGTCATTTCTTCTTTGAAAAGAATAGACCTGCAACATTTACATATCCACTTTGGAGTTTTATGGGTGATTGGAAAATGATGTTTGAGGTTTTGACATTCCAAAGAGGTTTAAAGGATTAAAATTTTGTTAGAAAGTAGACGAACTTGATGATCAGCTGATTTAACAATCTCCTTCTGAACAAAATATCAATAAAAATACATATTTCATCATATCTGAATGCTGAACCAACTTTTTCACATAGTTTCTTTTTAACATACATTATCTGAAATCTGAAATATTTTTCATCATATCCTATGCTCTGCCAAGTTAAGTATCATGCTGTTGTTACTACTACAATCTTTCTAATTCTTGAATTACTTGTTCTATGTTTGGTCTTTTGGACGGATAATGATTCCAACATTTGGTGATTAATTGAGTGATTGTCCAGTAGATTTCTGCATTCTTTTCCTCATCAAATTCAATGCACCATTCTCTGCATGATTCCAAATCGTCGAATGGTATTTTTGGCCTTAAATTATCCTCACAAATAGATCTGTGTAATAGCAATTGTGATGGATATTGATTTGGTTTTTCCATTCTTATTTTCCTTAAATAATTTTGATTGCTTGATGTGTAGGGATCGGTAGTTTCAAATAGAACTTGATATAAAATGATTGAGAAACTATAAATGTCGATGGCCTTAGCATCTGATCTTTCAATTTCCTTAATTGGCATGCTTACTTCAGGACTGTTGAAAATTAATGAACATCAATTATTATCAAATACTAACCTCATGTAATAGCATGTTCCAATGTGATTTGTGAGCGAAGAATAGGTATGCGTAGATAATACTCTTCCCAATCCAAAATCACACAATTTACAAATGGAATGATTGTTGTGCAAGAGTACATTGGCTGGTTTTAAATCTCTGTGAACAATATAATTGGGTTGTAAATTGTGTAAATATGAAATTCCATAACAAATTTGTAGCAATAAATTCAATTTTTCTCTGATTGGACATTTCAAACTTTCATTTTGTAAATCAGACAAGAATGATTCTAAACTTCCTTCCATACATTCCATAATAATGTATCTCTTAGTAACTCCACTAGAAATTCCATAAAAACTAATAATATTAGGGTGTCTTAATTTAGAGAGAATGGTCGCCTCTCTAAGGAAATCTTCTTCTGATATATTCATATTATTCAAATCGAATACCTTTACAGCAACTTGAATATTCTTCCAGGTTGACTTGAAGACTGCTCCTATACCACCAGTACCCAATCTTTTGATGTTTTTATCGAGATTCAAATCTTGAAGAGGTATGAAGAATGATTCTTCCTTTTCATCTGTTAAGGAGGAGCTTGTTGAATGAGTAGTGAATGAAACATCCTCTGGTAAGAGCAATCTCTGATCCAATTGGATGTCAGTGTCAATAATTCTCTTTTGCCTACGATATTTCGAAACAATGCAACCCAGTACAATAATAATTGCAGTAATGAAAATTATTAGAAATGAAAGAGATCCAAGAGTAGCTCCTAAAATCACATCTGAATTATCCAATTTTTGACATTGATCACCATGATAATTATTCTTACATTCACAATAGTCAGGCTCTAGGCATGTTCCTCTTCCACCACATACTGAATCATCATTTGATGGTTTTCCAAAACAGAGTGGATATTGACATTCTCTTCCAGAATACTTTTTGGGAGTACATAAACATTGGTCCTTCTCTACACACTTTCCATTATAAGAACCTCCACAAGAAGTGTTGGTTGGTTTTCCAAAACAAATTGGTTTTTCACAAACCATTCCAACGTAACCCTCCATGCATTTACAATTATCTGGAGAAAGACATTGACCTCTACCATTACAAACTTCTGGATTTAAACTATCCTTTCCGTAACAAAGTGGATATTTGCACTCATCTCCAATATAATTAGTACTACAACTGCATTTGTTTGGATATAAACAATCACCATTACCTGAACATACAGAGCTATTGTAACTAGTCAATCCAAAACAAACTGGTGTACAGAGAGAGAAATTTGAATCAAGAGCGTAACCTAATGGACAACTAGGTACAAATTGTTGAATATAATTGATCTTTGCAGAATAGAGAATTCCTGTATCCTCATCCACAGTAAAAGCATGAGAGACATCCATTGCAACGGTGCGAATAGTTCCATCTTTGTGTGATATTTTCTTGACAGTATAACTGGTTATTGAAAAATAGTCAGCAAAGAAAATATCTTCTGATTTTGTTACCTGAATGGATAGTGGATAGGTGAGTTGGGCATCTGTGGCCTTGATTCCATCCGCAATTATATTGCCACCTCCTGCAATGGTAGTAACGTATCCATTCGAAACCTTTCTTATTAGTCTATTACCAGTATCACCTATTTTCCAATATTATTAAATCTGGTATCGAGTAATTACTTACAGAAATAAAAATCATTCTCATTAAGAGATGAAACTGCCATATTGGATGGCAAATTCAATAGGGCATCTTCATTTCTGACCTTATTTCCATTAAATCCAAATCCTTTTCCAACAATTGTACTAACTATTCCTTCAATACTAATTTTTCTAATGAGGTGGTTATAAAAATCTGCAAATATAATTTCTCCTTTTGAATTTGAAAAAGCTCCTCCTACCTTAGCAACAGCATCCAATGATTTTCCATAATCACCTATACCTCCTGCTACAGTAAGTGCTGAAAATGCTAGACTTCTTAAATCTAGGGATAATAATCTCACTCTATTATTTGAACTATCTGAAATGTATATAGAATCTGAGTCTATGAACAATCCTTTAGGATTGAAAAACTTAATATTGTATGATGTAGAAGAATCTCCATTGTAGCCACTCTCTCCCGTTCCAATTACCATTGTTCTACCAGTAGTTGGGCTATATGAAATAATCCTTGAATTGTAAGAGTCAGCAATAACTATTGCACTGCCATCCACTACAACTGCATGAGGATAAGATAATGATTTTAGATTCAAAAGCACTGATTTACCAGAATTAGCTCCAAATACAGTAGTTAATTGATTGGTTATTAAATTGAAACGCTTGATTTTGTGATTGTTTGTATCGGCAATCATCAAATCAGGATAATTAACATGAATACCTTTTGGTGAATTCAATTCTATTTCAGTAAGATCATTACTCTGTACAGTATCACCAGGAGTTCCAACACCTACAATGTTTAACAGCTTTGGATTAAGAAAGGTAGTTGCAACAATTCTATTATGTAATGTATCTGCTATAAAAAGGTGAGTAGAATTAAAGCTCAATCCATAAGGACCTTTAAGAGGAGATAAACTACTACCACATATTCCAACAAAATTAGATAGTGTTCCATTCTTAATTTGTCTAATGCAATGATTATCTGTGTCAGATATATAAATATCACCATTTTTCAAAACAACAATACCATTAGGATTGCTTAAATAGGACAACAAGGGATCACCAATTAAAGAGTAACCACTAATTCCTGTTCCTGCAACGTTAACCACAAAACCATCTTGTGTAATTTTTCGTATTCTATGATTTTGAGAATCAGCAAAATAAATTTCACCATTTTGTTTAAATATTCCTGTGGGATGGTTGAGTGTAGAAATATTGGAAGGAACATTATTACTTTTTTCAACGTGCTCATAATAGGCCACATAGTCACAAAGCATATTCTCTGATTCTAGGAAATTCAATTTTGAAAGAGCATCTTGACTGATAATAAGTAAAGAATTATCATTCCTATTCTTGAAGAATTGACCAACAGAAAATGCTCTATTATTCGTGTCACTACATGTAGATTGATAGGAAAGAGTGTTCACAACTTGCTTCTCAAATGAGTAAGTTCTTAAACTTTGTAAATCAGATATGACCATTTCTTTGGGACCATCAACTGTTCGTCTCATCATTGACATGGAATAGATTGCAGTAAATGTGAAATTATTTACATTTGCTCCCTCAATTGCAGCTCCTCCCAGAGTTAAAAAACCTTGAGAGATTCCATTTTCCACTTTAGTCACATTATTATATCCACAATAAAATAGTTGTTTTGAATCATCGAGTGATACTAAACAAGGTCTTTCAATATTTACAAATTGAGGCGCATTGGGAGCATCAATGGAAGGATATTCTACAAAATTGTATTCATTGCAAGCTGGTGAAGATGCATTACACTGTATATATGCATAATTTGGATAAATATAAATAATAAAGTGTAATGTTTTTTCTGATGTAATTGAATTTTTAGAAACACGTAATCGATAAAGCATATCAACAGTACGAATGTTCCTCTTTTCTGATAAATCCAATACTGAAAGTATTTTAACTGAGCTACGTTGAGTTCCCAAATATAGCTCATTATCCATTAATTCAATTTCGTGTATTTCATCTTGATTCAATGTAGTAAATTGACTCGTCGTTCTATTTAATGTCATGTTAAATATCTTTACAATAGATGAACCATTTGCAATAATAAACGAATCCTCATAAATAACAAAATCCATATTTACAATATTTCCAGTATAGTAAACAGTTGTATTTCCTCTCTCGGGAGATAACATGATGATTTTATCTGAAATTGACATGCCAATCACTTCATTTCCCTCACCAATTTGATGCACCACTAAATTTGATTGTAAATCACATCCAATTCCAAAATCTCCAACACTAAATATTTCCCCTGTCAATGTATGAAATTTGTTCAATTTTGAGGAACTATCGGAAACAAAATAAATAAACGACTTGTGCAAAATTGATGGTGCCATCAATTGTACAGGTAATGTAATTAGTGAAATGTTTGGTAAATTTCCAAGTCGAGTGCCACTATTTTGATAAATTGGATGAAGAAATGTGTCCAGTGAGTGGACCTCACCAACCAAAACCACACACAAGAAGAAAATCACAAAAGTGGTTGTGAATGATCTTGTTGGCATTTTTTTACGGTACTAAAATTGGAAGATTACTGCCCGTTCACTCCGATCAAATTTCTCACAAGGTTTATTGTAGTTATTAGAAAATCATAATTAATATCATAAATTTAAATTACTAATCTATTATCATGTCATATCAAATTATTCCATTAAAAATGAGCAAACGAAATAGACAAGATTTTCAAAGTCATCATCAATTAATTAATTATTCGGAGGAGGAAATATTCACTAACAATAGAAGTTGTGAAACTCCAATAAGAAATATTTTCAGATGATGTTTGTTTTGAAATAATTTCCATGATTGATGATTCGTGGTTTATTTTGAATAATTGTTCCTTGATTTCAAAACAATTCTTTAATGTGATCAAGGAACGTTCAAAACTTGTTATTCAATTTAAAAAAAAATTTACAGAGAAAAGAGTTGAATTACTCATGAAAAGTCAATTTATGAAGATGTTGAATTTTCTAGCAATTTGCTTGACTCTATAGAAACAACCAAATTCATAAGTGAAATGAAACAATTAACATCACTTAATATTAATTACAATCAAATTGGTGATGAAGGAGCTAAATACTTAGGTGAAATGAAACAATAAACATTACTTAATATTTCTTAAAATGAAATTGGTGATGAAGGAGCCAAACTTATAAGTGAAATGAAACAATCACTAGAAAAATAACCTGTTTAGAGATTGTAATTATTATTATTGGTGTACAACTTTAATTTTGGTGCATTTTACAGTATTCAAGCAGAGAAGGAACTTCAGTGAGAGAAAGAATCTCACAAATCTTTGGCAATACCACAAGTGAATAAAACTCAACAAACGGCCTTGAATGAACTGAAACACTTGTCGAATATGGAATTGGATTGTTGAAAGAAAGATTTTCATCAATTTCACATTTTTCACAAATTCTCCAAGTGTCAGGCTGTGAACCAGCTTTGTCCATAGCTGAGCCAAAATGTTTCAAACAAGTTGAACATCTTACAAACTCTCCACCAGTATGGACTGCGTGAAACTCAATCAGTGTGTATCCTTTAATGTGATACACTTTGGAGAATTTAGAAATCATAACACCACCAGAACTTCCAAAAATTAAACTTTCAGAACTGGCTAAACACTCTTGGTTGGACTTATCGTAACAAAAGTCTTCAACTTTTTCTACAAGTCCATTTTGAGTGAAATCATAGGGGTGAAGTATCTTTCCAACACTTGCACACAATGTTCCATAACCATTGAAGATATTGTCCTTCAAGAAGGATTCACTTGGAGCCCAGTCTACATAATTCTGACTGCTAGAGAAAGGAGAAGGTTTATTCTCGTCTCCTGGATACGAAAGGGTAATATTTCGTCATT